CGTGTGCTATAAACCTTCTAGTTCCATTCATGTACTATACGCGCGATCACAGTATGTCATCTGTCCAAAATTCCAAAATCCATCATTAGTCAAGCTTGTTGGATGCCGTGAGAATGTTCTTGCATAATCATAGACATATTGGAATAGTCAATACAAAAGTTGTAAAAGACATAAAAATGGCTCGGATGTTGCAAAATCGAAAATTCATTTCCTTATAAATGAAGATTCAAAAAGAAGCAATAATGCAGTGTGTATGTCACGCTTGCTAACCTTTAGGTCTTTTTCTAAGTTATAGTTGTATACTTGTATATGAGAAAAATAAAAGAGAGCTTCAATAAAAAACATTCAAGTGATTTTTCTTTTCTACTTTTATGTTTCATGTCGTGCACTTATTACTATTATTATTATTTCATCTCAAGGAAAAATTCGCAGCATATAAATCGTTTTCACTACTTGACCTTGATACTTGTTGTCAAGAACCTCACTGGTGGATATGAAGGGTTTGGTTGGCACAACGCATAACGAAGTTTTTCGTGATTTATGGAAGGAAAATTAGGTAGTTAAATAAAAAAAACAAATTGCGTTGTCATTTACTTAAATTGGATGATATTTTGTATTGTTATATTAACAAAATGATTATCACGACTTATTCAATTTCAAAAATTAAATAACTGCAAATAAATATTAATCAATTCTTGTATATCAACTCCATTAAAGTCGTGACTCAACCTTGTTTATGAAACGAACTTGGCTTTGTTTTATCTCCCTTATCTTTTGGGGAGGGAGGTGGAATAGTTCTTTCAAATTTATTTCTTTAATTCATAACACCTGCGTACCTTGGCTTCTAGTATATGCATTGGAATTTTACATTTCTTTCTTTTAAGTAAATATTGATAGTTTGATAAACTGTAAAGCTTTATCAGAAAGAATTAAAACTTCAAAATTTACAATCTGACGAAGTAAATTAATACCAAAATAAAGAGCTAGTCCCACACTATCACACAAAAAAGCGTGTGGAGTTTGACATATGTAGTACATGAAGATCAACAATGACTTTCGTGGGTGAGGAAACAACTACCGAGTCTCATTGTTTATATAGAATTCGAGAAAAACTTTAACTTTTATAGTGAATGATTATTATATATAGATAATGTTATAGAGATGTCTGACTGTAATATGATATCCGCATGAAATAAAACAGCTTTTATCGAGTCCCGTTGTTTATACACCCCGCATCTCTCCCGTCATTTGTCGATGTAGTATTTGCCTAGTGTTTTATGTACACTCCCCCAAGGCTTCTGTGACCCACTATAGATCTGTTATACAGTAATTGAAACTCGCTTGTGTACTTTGTTGAATAGTAACTATTTATATTATATTAAAAGCACGAACACCCTTAGCGAAATGTTGTTCATATTTTTTACCCTTTAAAATAGAGTATACATTGGACAAATTAGTAATTTTATTATTTTTCCAATATTTAAGATTCTAAAATCCTATAATTTTAGTTATTAAATATTTCATTATTTGAATTAGGCAAAATACATAGTTTACCCATCCACCTTTCACCCAAATCCCTGTTACACACCTGTTGACTTCGAGTTTAATTTTACACACCAAACCTTTCAAATGTGTGTTAATTACACTACTTTTGACCAGCCTAGTTAATATTCAATGTTGTGTATACACGCACATCTCTAAATTAAGAAGCACCCTTTTAATCAACTGACAACCTTACAGAACCGACTCGCTCAAATAAAAAAATACCCAACAATCAGTGTACCACCTTCCCCACCACTGCACCACCTTCTCCACCATTGCAACCCCTTCTTCTTTGTAAAGAAAACTCCACTACAATTACCACAAAACTATTAAGTTGCAACACCCAAATAGATGCACACAAACAACATACCCAAAAAATTTCACCGGTCGGAATTTCGCCTGAAACTCCATCTCCGACCCTCCCTTTTTTTTATCATTATTTTTTCCTTTCACAAAGCTCAATAATGATGAGCCAAAAGAAAATAACGGAAAAGGGAAATTTTAGATCTTTTGTTGGCAAAATTAAAAGAACTACAAAGGCCACTTTGTCAACAAAATTCCAAAATAAAAAATTGAAAACTTAAATTCAAACAAAATGGTTGAATTATTTCGGAGAAATTTCAAATCTTGGGCAACCAAAAGAAAAAGCAAAATGGGAGAAGGTTGTCGGGGAAGAAGACGATATAGGGGGAGGGGAGATGAAACCGGGTAGGGGAAGGGGGTTGGGGAAGAAGACGAGAGGGGAAGGGGCATCTAGACAATATAAAGCAGTGGGGGAAGAGTTTTTTGTGTGGAGTTGGGGGGGAAGGAGAGGGGGGATGACATAGATTGGGGAAAGGGGTTGGGCCGGGGAAGAAGACAAGAGAGGGAGGGGTTATTTCCCTTTTTATTTATTTGTTAATTGGTGTAAAAAGGAAAAAACTTAAAAATTAGACACGTGGATTCTTTATAAAACTTGTGACATGAAAGTTTTATTATTCACGCGCTTGTTTTATGTGCGTAACACGCTGGTGACACACAGAGGCAGATCTAGAAATTCGGGACGATGGGTGCACCATTACTTTTAAGATTAACATTTAGTTTGATAATATAAAATTTTACAATCACAACAACTTAGCAAGCAAAAAATAATTAGTTTCATTATCACAAAAAAGTATTATCAATTTACAATTGTACTCGATGAGTTTTCATACTTTGAAAATGATCAATAATAGCATCATTACTTACAGTTGCAAATACCTTACGCTTTATTGCAAACTAAACAACCATTCAAAAACTCTTCACTAATACTATTACGTAGATCATTTTTTATGAGCTTCATTGAGGAGAATACCCTTTCCACGCTTGCAGTAGCAACATGTAAAATCAAAGTCAACTTCACAAGTAAATAAATATGACACCAAGTTTGATCCAATTTTGTCTTTACCATCACTATAGCAAGATCCTTCATTCCCTTCAAGTTGATAAATTTACTATCAGGCATTCGAGCATAGATAATAAAACTATCATAATATCATGTTTACCACAGAACGAGTAAACTTCATTCATCAAAAACTCGAATTCACTTTCTCTCATAGTTTGCAATCTTATCTTTGCAAGGTCAAGCAACCTCATAGCATTGACTATGTCTTGATCTTTTTTTTGTAAAGCTTTGTTCAATTCATTTGTTAGAAGCAACATCTTGAACATCAAATGCAATAAAAACACAAATTTAAATTCTTGAATATTACCCAAAAGATTTTTTGCTGCAAATCTATCAAGAGAAAGAAGACTATCTTATTGCATATCTTTAAGCACATTAACAATAAAAAGGATTAGCTCAAGAAACGTTATCAGAATAAATCTAAATCAGAAAAAATCTCCTTCATTCAATAGTTATAGAAAAAAAAACCCAAAATGCGAATAAACCTACAAGAAAACTTATTGACTAGTTTAGAAAAAGATACCTTGGAGGAAAATAGCATTGCACAAGCAGTCACGCAATCAATGGAGACAAGATTAGCATTTAAATTTTAGAACAAGAGACAAGAACAAGTCAAAATAGGAACTAGGGTTTTGCTTTTTTTTAGTTTTGACCTCCCAAAATTGGGATTAGGAATTAGGGAATAATATTGATATTTGGGAATTGGGGATCTCCAAGCGTGTGGGTCTGTGTAAAAGTTGGGCACCGATCGATATAATAGAATAGAAGAAAAGCTTAAACATTGTGTTAGAAGAAATAGAAAGAGAAAAAAAAGATTTAAGAAAAAAAATAAAATAAACAAAAGCCAAGCAGGGATTCGATCCCTTGTCCTTAGGCAGTTAGGCTCCTAGGAATAAGAGGGCAAAATCAGTGCACCACTTCACCTCTTTTGACCATGGGTGCCATCAGATATATATAACCATTTTTTTGCGAATTATGTACATCATATACATATTTTAGCCGAGGGACCATGGGTTTACGTGAACTATATTTTTCACAGTAGATCCGCCCCTGGTGACACATAGCTAAAGTAGTGTGTAATTGACACACATTTGAAAAGTTTGGTGTGTAAAGTTAAACCTGTGGTCAACAAGTGTGTAACAGAGATTTGGGTACAAGGTGGATGGGTAAACTATGTATTTTGCCTTCGAATTAAATAAGAAGTCCTAATATTTAGGACTTTAAAATTAAAAATTAAAAAAGCTATAAAAAAAAATGCTTTGAATTGGGTGTTAAAACTATTCTAAATTTTTGAGGAACTAATATTTAGGGCGTTGAGTTGTATTTTAGAAACGTTACTCATTATATTGTAGCATAAATATATGAGTAGTTCCTCATAACTAAGTACGAGCTTTCAAAGTATTGGAAAATCTTAACCCTTGATTTAAAAAAAGTAAAAAAGCAAGGAAAGAGCTAGCTTTGAAATTTTGAATTGGATATTCCAATAATTCTAAAAAATATTATTTTTTCTTGTACTCAACATATAAGAGTAGTTCCTACTAACAAATAATGATAGCACCGAATTTACATTGAAATGGAAGATGTTAACGTTTGATCTTAATAAGTGTTAGGATAAAAAATTCACCATAAAAATAATTTGTTTGTTTCAGTAATTTTATAAATAGCAATCAAAAATATTAAAAATGTATTTAATAATTAAGAAAAGAAAAGAGTTAGAACTTTATAAATATATACTCAATACACATACTACAAAAAAATATTAAAAAATAAATTTAGATTTTATAGCAAATCTCTGAAAGATTTTTATTTTAATATGATTTATAAAATATTTTAATATGATTTAATATTATATAAGTTAATTATCTTAAGTAAAAAATTAGAGAAAGACTTTGTGAAAAGTTATATTTGATTCTTAGATTATATAATAGTATGTCCATTACTCTTTAATTAAACACTTCTATATACACAAAAATACAAATACATCAAATTATCTCAATATTCGTAATTATTATACACTTTAACTCAACATTAAATCTAGAAATACACGCGAAATGACACTTAATAATAACACGCCATGTTATGAATAGTTTAATAATATTTGAATAATTTATTGCAGTGTCAAATATTGATATAGTATACATGCGCAAAGCGCGTACGCTAAAGCTAGTTTTAGAAAGAAAAAAAAAAAGAGGATGTGCTGGAAAAGTTCTTGGAAGCCGGCGAAATATTATGTTGATAAAAATTCATGACTTCCAGCAGTACCCTGATGCATATATATTTAACTGCATCTACATGAAAAGCAAAAATGAAGTAACTGATTAGGAGAATGTTGGCTAGTAGCTGGAACTGGGAAGTAGTCTAGTTCCAATCCTGCCTTTTTTCACTTCGACTTTTTGAGCTGTACATAGCTTTTACTTGTTAATGAAAATTTTGGTTACCAAATACAACAACCACCCAGTATAATCCCACTAGTAGGGTCTGGGGAGGGTAGTATGTACGCAGACCTTACCTCTACCCTGGGGTAGAGAAGTTTCCGATAGACCCTCGGCTCCCTCCCTCCAAGAACTCCCCACCTTGCTCTTGGGATGACTCGAACTCACAACCTCTTGGTTGAAAGTGGAGGATGCTCACCACTACAGCAACCCACTCTTGTCAAAATAACAAAACAAAAAAAAAAATGAAAGATGACTATCCACTGATCAAAAGGTATTACAAAGCAATACTCAACAATGTTTCATTTCTAAAGAAGACATTAGCGTACCTGGGAACATTGCATTTCAATCTGGAGTTTCTATACAACAACAGTAGCAACAACAACTATGCCTCGATCCCATATGGAATTGCTATAGTTTGTCCAAAATTATGCCAATCCTTCAATCGAGTATTCTTGCTCAAACCCAAGATAACAATCCGATACTAGAATGAGCTTTATTCCCTGAAATTGAAAATACCCAATATTATGTCTCAACAGACTAAGAATTATATCTATTATTAGCACAGACAGAAAAGGGACATGTTTATTTTTCCCTTTTCTAGGGTTAGGCAGGTGGGAGGATTGTATCTTGACTCCCAAAATAAAGAAGGCAAACAGGTCATCTCAAACTCCTAATAGCTAACCTGCTATCAACTTTTCTTTTTGGTTTGTGTGGGGGATATGGGGCAGGTGTTTAATTTCTCAAAGGCCATTATAACAAGGAAGTGACTGCTAAGCTACTGGGACATCGATTCTACTAGAAGAGGGGGAAGCAACAGCTCACAGGAGTACTGAAAGCTGGCAGGTTTAGTGAATATCAAAACAAGTACGTTTATTATATCAATGGATATGAACCTGGAAATTGGTCAGAACGGATGGCAAATCCATGTTTGTCTGCAAACGACCAGAGAAAGACACTCTCTTCAGAGCATACAGTTCACTTGCCGAAGTATTACAAAGGACTAACCACCAAGCTTCATCTTTTACCTGAAAAGACCAAAATGTTAGTGTTTGGGAAGCTCCAGGATACAAAGCAAGCAGAAGCTCAATACCTTTGGATATCGTGGGGTAAAAGCTTTTGCTGTTCTTCGCCGAGTGTTCGCATCTTCCAATCTAATGTTCAAGGTAAAAATCTTGCCACCATTAGATTCCTTCTTCTGAATCTTTAGTCGAACTTGAATCCGAGGGAAATGCTGCATATCCTGTCCAAACAGTACAAGTATGTGAATCAGATCTGCAATTAGTATACATGTTACCACAATCATAGATTTTCCGATACTTACCATACACAGTACATGAGCAGTTTATGACAAATAAAACACGCACATTAGGACGCGCAACCATTAGAGTATCAGTACAAAGTCTACTTCATTAGCATAAATCAAGAGATCCTTCGATTTCCTGAGAGGAAACAACAGGAGGGCCCCAAAAAACATGGAAATTATACTCAGGGATTGAGTGAAAGGCAGTAAGGAAATTTTGGAACTCATAATAAGAGGGAAAAACAGAGTCTGTCTAAAGAAACACCCTAAACACGAAAGTGTGCTGTTCCGGCCCCTTCTCCGCGCTGAGTCTCGAGCTCGAGATTTGAATTTCTTCACAGTAGTATCCCCATTGACTTCTGCTTTACTAATGACTGAATTGGCTTCGTTCCAAAATTAAGTCTTTCAGCATCAAGTTGGGACAACAAGTGGAGAATACTACTTCAACAAGGTTCTGCTGAAGACAATCATTTCCATTGAAGACATAACTAAGTAAATAAAAGATTGCTCTCTCTAACCGCTAAAGCTTTAAGAAGAGATAGTCACACAATTCAACATGGTATCAGAGAAGGTAGATGTTCGGGTTCAAATCTCACCGCCATCCATTATCAATAAAGGATTTTCACGTGCTGGACCCATGAAAAAGAATTACGCCCGCACATGAGGAGCGCGTTGAAGACATAATTATGTAAATAAAGGTGTACTTCCTCTAATAGTTTAAACTATTAGATGAGATGGTCACATATTCAACAATGTCCTTCCACATGCTTGACAGTGTTCCCCATATATCACTATACAGCTTCATTTACAGAGACGCATATTCACAATGTGATCTATAGCTAAGGACTGACAAAATAGGAAGCTACTGGTACACATTAAGCAATATTTTATAACAGAACTGCTTCATACTAAGCTAAGAAGTAAACCAAGAAGCCTGACAAAGGAAAACTGTAGTTACAAAGAATTAAATGGACATAGCCCCTCTTTCAACTTCGAAAAATTAGTTTACCAGTCAAAATAGATTAAGTGATTTATCAAAAAAAAACCTGGGGGAGGTTAAGGGGTTCAATCAGGATCAGAAATGTTCCCCGACATTTCTGATGATTAAGGATGTATCAGAGTTTGGATCATGATCATGAGATACTGAGTTCCAGTGTTTTTCCAGTTAACCAAATATGTTAATGTTTGCTATGATCAAAATGGATAGGTTAATGACGCTTGAAACCTTTTGCCAGTTTAAAAGTTCAAGCTTCATTATTTTTTAAATTCCGGAAGAAATCACGCGTATGGACTGTCCTGGTACCTCATTTTGGACCAATTTCAGCATGTCTTTTCAACACATACCCCAAACTGTCCTGCTACCTCATTTTGGACCAACTTCAGCATGTCTTTTCAACACATACACAAAACGTAAATCCATAATGTTTAAAACACTAAAACAGTGAGATTAATTTTTTTTTAAAAAGATCTTTTTCTTTCTAGTTTTCCCCAAGGTTATGCCTATACCTATCAAGCAGCTATGTCTGCAGTCTAAGGCTGAAAAACCATATAAGTAGACGTGTTGAAATTAATTTCTGAAACATGCCTTCTATAACACTCTGGACTAAGTTCTACTCACAGATGATCGATGCATGTTCAAAACAAACATTCTTAGGATACAAGCAAATCAATAATTTTTCAGTGAGAGAGTAGAGATGATTTTTGCAAAACACCACGAACTACTAAAACAAATTAGAGCACCTGATAGAGTCTCGAGGCAGCTGAACTCCCAGTGATAGCTGGCAAAGATTTTGAAGGACAATCCAACAGCTGCTGGATACTAGCAATCCCTTTTTTATGCAATAAGCTGACTAGATCATCAGTCATGCACGGTAACATCCAAAAAGGAGAGTCCCTATCAAACCACAATCCCTGCAGATTAAACAAAGACATCAAGGACACAGTACAGTTGCTAATGACCTAGTTTATAATGAAGGGAAAAATTATGCAAGAATACCAAGAACCTGTCTAAAACCACCATTCAGAAGATATTCTAGGCGACCAATCAATCAACTACCCCTTAATCCCAAACTAGTTGGACATTTGGACTGGTTATAAAATCATTTGCAGCTTTTTCATTTCTATTCTGCCCCATTTCGTTCAATACTAAAAGATTGTCTTCTAAAATGGAATAATGATTTTCTAAAATGTTAGTTATGTGTAGTCCCACATTGGAATAGGAGTAATATGTACTTTGTAGACTATAGCTATAAATAGGACCTCTTGTATTATAGTGTGTATCTAATATCAATAACATATTTTCTCCCGTGCCTTCTCACATGGTATCAGAGCTTCAGTGAGAAAAGATCGTTGTGCGTCATTCCAGCAACATCCGGGAAGAAAGAACTCGATCACCGTGCAATTTTCCGGTGATCTAAGAGACTGTTGCGTCAAAGTCACTATTTATAAGTGTTGTGAACAAACCAACACCACCACAAGGTCCGCCGTAGTCCCGCGACCAAACCCCAAAAAACTCCCACCGGAAAACTCAAACCACGCGCCCTCACGCGCCGGACTGAGTTCAAATTTTCCGGCGAGATCTGTGCACGCGTCGAGCGCGTGAGACTCCTTACAGCCAGATTCCGACGATCTTCCTTCCGGAAAGCTTACTCGCACAGAAATTCCGAGTCGACCAGTGCTATCCCCGACAAATTCCGACAACTTTGCAATTTTCCGGCGAGCTACAGTGTTTCCGACGCAGAACAATGTTCTGTTTTCCTGCTGTGAACAGTGTTTTCCCAACGATTTCTTCAGTTTTCCCACAGTAGTTACTGATTTCCACTATTTCAAGTTAACCCTACTTCTATTAATTGTAGCGATATGGGAACCGATACTTTGAATAGTCGGATGGTTTCTTTAGCGGATTATTTTGAGTTCCTTCAGTACAAAGCATGTAAGCAGACATCTTCTGAGATAGCTTCTGTTGTTCAAACACGTAATAGCGTGACTTGTTTCTCCCAATCTTCATCTTCCGAGTCTTGGGTCATTGATTCAAGTGCATCAGATCATATTTCTGGTAACAAATCTCTTTTCACTACTATTTCGTATTCTCAATCTCTTCCAAAAGTCACAATGGCCAATGGGTCTCAAACCATGGCAACTGCAATAGGTCAAGCAAGCTCACTTTCTTCCTTACCTTTAGATTCAGTCCTTTATGTTCCTAATAGTCCTTTTAATCTCATAGTTGTTAGTCGCCTAGCCAAATCACTTAAATGCGTCGTTTATTTCTTGATGATCATGTTTTTATACAGGAATGCAATACATGGCGGATCAAATAGACTTTATTACCTTATCCTAGCTAAATCACATGGACTCACATCTTGTCTTCCTTCAACAACTTGTCATGTTACTGATTCACCAGATTTATTACATAAACGGTTGGAACATCCCAGTTTGTCAAAACCTCAGAAAATGGTACCTGGTTTACCTCACTTGTCAGCTCTAGAGTGTGAGTCCTACCAGCTCGGTAAGCATACTCGCTCTCATTTCTCTCGGCGTATTGATAATCGAGCAGAGTCACATTTACTTTAGTCCATTCAGATGTTTGGAGCCTTAGTCGGGTTAGTTCTACCTTAGGATTCTGCTACTTTGTCAGTTTCATTGATGACTATTCCAGGTGCACTTGGATATTTTTGATAAAAAAATCGATCTGAGTTGTTTTCTATTTTCCA